TCCCCTTCCTGTTCACCCCGCTGGCCTGGGGCAGCTGGGTTCGCAGCCCGAGACCACAGCTTCCACAGCACCTGTTCCCCAAAACCGTGAGCAAAGTGGATTGTTTTCAATGTCACTGGCGTAGTCTTGTGACGGATGATGATTCTATCATGCGTGTCTATATTCCTGGTCATTTCCGATCCCCTTCCCCCTCTCCCCTAGCCTCTATTCCTTCTTGCCAGCTGCTCCTTGGAAAGGACTGATATGTAGAATATGTGAAGAGTCAGAACATGAGCAGTGGCCCGCATGCAGCAGGGGACAGCACCGAAGAGGAAGTGACGTGGGTCCAGATGGAGTCCCCAAGGTCACCTGCACGACCCAGTGGACAGGCTGAATGGTGCGCTCCTAATCCCGCTGGGGCTCCCAAGTCGGTCAGGCTTCAGCACCGCACTGGGGAGCACACAGGGCACAGCGCAGACACGGACGGCGCTCGGCAAGCGCCACGCAGAGGCAGCAGAGCCACCCACCCTGTGCCGCCTGCTCCTGCGGTCCTGAACAGGAGGTCATATTTGTTTTCACAATAGGCGGGAGTTTACTCCACACTGCCAATGTTCTAAGCAGCATGAGTTCATCGCCCCCCACCAAAAAATGTCCCTAAGTAGCATTTCTGTGGAAAAAGCACACAAACCCAGGAAGGAAAGGAGCAGAATCCCGGTCCCTACGGGCCACCCTGCATAACTGTGGGGAGCAATCTAAATGGCACATGCCGCTGCAGGGACAAACCACGCAGGGACAGACTACCTTTTGTGGGAACTGATTTAATCTTCTCAGAATTTGGCCTCCTTGGCAAAGCTGGCTTTCACCAGAGGAGAAAATGTGACACCAGCAGCAGTGGACAGCAGTACCCTGGGACAGGCGGCAGGCTCACCAGCAGACAAAAAGAGGTCCAGGGTACAGATCTGGCCAAGGGCCTTGTGTTTGCCTTGGTTCCTCCAACGCGGCTGCTGGAAACCCCGGCTTTGTAGAGCTGGAGACTGCAGAGGGGGATGACAGCGGGCTGTAGGCAGCCATCCACGTGACAGCCTGGAGGGCTCCTTGTGCTTCCACTGCAGGTCCCCTGAGGGCCACCAAACCCTCCGTGGAGCCCCGAGCTCCCCGCCCCACCCCAGGAAACATCTGTCTGCCTTCGTTTTCCTTCTGCATACAAGATGCCCAGGATTAGCATGATTCCTTACCACCCTCTCCTGGAAACTGGCACAAAGCACGCAGTGGACATGGATGATCAATGTCTGAGTGACTCCCCAAAATGTAGACTGCAGTAGGCAGCTGGGAAAGAACAGTTAAACACTGTGTGGTTGGCTTCACAAAACACCTGCCCTGACTCCCCGTCAGCTTTCAAAATGTGGACAAATTGCAACCCGATGCTAATTTGTTGCATACACTTGTTTTCAAAAATCTCTTACTGTGATAAAATACCCATAACATTAACTTTCCCATCTCGCCTCTTCCTGAACCAGCAGCTCCGAAGCGTTAAGTACATTTACACCGCTGTAAAACCGTCTCTAGGACGCCTCCATTGTGTGGAACTGAAACTCTACCCATTAAACACTGGGCAGCTTCCGCTCTGCCCACCGGGTCTGTGGACTTGGCTACCCTAGGTGCGGCAGGGTCATGCAAAAGTATAAACGGAGCTGCTGCAGAGCTTGTCCCTTTGCCTGGCATATTTCGCCCAGGCTTGCAGCTGTCCTACCGTGTGTCCACATGATCTTTCTCCTCGAGGACCACTCGTGTTTCATTGTTTGGAGACCACGGCTTGGCTGTCCTTCCAGTGGACGTCTGGGTTTTCTACCTCTTGGCTGTTGTAAATGTGCCACAGTGAACATGGAGTGATAACTCTTTGAGACCCTGTTTTTAAAATTCTTGATATACGTACAGAAATGGGTCTTTTTTAAAAAAAAGAGAAAAACCTTTCTTGTTTCGGTTTTTGGAGGAGCTGTGACAATTGCACTGTTGCACTGTGGCACCACTAGCACAGGGGGCCCCAGCTTTTTCACATCCTCACCAATCGTTTTCTACTTTTCAATCGCAGCCATCTGAGTGGGCGTACAATGCTACTGCAGGGTGGTCTTGATTCTCCTTTATCTCATGATTAGTGATGGGGAGGGTATTTTCTTAGGCTGTTGGCTATTTTTATGTCATCTTTAGAAAAATGCCTGTTTAAATCCTTTGCAATTTTTAAATCCAGTTAGTTGGCTTTTTGTGGGTGAATTATTGGGATTCTTTTTATATTCTGCCTAGTTCCCCTCATGAGACCTATAATTTGCAACTCTGTTCCTCCCTATTGTATTTTTGGTGTCTTCTGGTGCCCAAATGTTTTTTAGTTTGAAGTTGTCCCGTTTGTCCATTTTTACTTTGTTGTCTGACTGTTTGATGTCTTATTTCAAAAATCGTTGCCAAATCCATTGTCAAGGGGCTCTTCCTCTACTCCTCTCTAGTGGTCTTATGTCTCACATTAGGCTCTTTAATCCATTTGGGGTTGAGTTTTCATATGTTGTAAAATAGACATCAAATATTATTCTTCTACATGTAGATGTGCTGCTTCCCCAGCACCATTTGTTGAAGGAGTTGTCTTTTAGCCACTTTCTCAAGAATGACTTGATATATAATTGAGTTTATTTCTGAGCTATTTCTCTTCTGTTGGTCAGTCTGTCTCTATAATAAATTCTGTTTTAATTACTGTAGCTTTGTGATATGTTTTGAAATCAGGAAATATGAGTCTTGGTTCTTATTTTTTAAAAAAATGTTAGCTACTAAAGCTCCTTGGGATTTCACATGAATTTTAGGATGAATTTTTCTATTCCTAGAAACATGGCTTTGGGGCTTTTGTAGGGACTGAGCTGAATCCATTGGTAACTTTGAGAAGAAGGAACACATTAACAGTATTAGGATTTATAATCCACAAGTTCAAGATGACTTTCCATTGCTCTTGTCATCTTTTATTTTAGTAATTGTTCTGTCATTTTTTACTGTACAGGTCTTAACACTGGTTTGTTCCTATTTTATATTCCCCGATGCTACCATAAGTGGAAATGTTTTCCTAATTTCTTTTCATGTTGTTCATTCCTCATGTGCAGAACTGCGACTGACCCTTAAGTGTTGATTTTGAATCTTGCAACTTTGCTGGTTTATTGATTCTAACATTTTTAGTCAAATCTTTATAGAGTTTTCCACACATAAGAGCACTTCATGTGTGACTACAGCTCATTTTACTTCTCCCTCTCCAAATCACAGGGTTTCACTTCTCTCCTTTGTAACTGCTGGAGCTGGAGCTTCCAATGCTGTGTTGAAAAGAAGTAGTGTGAACGGGCATCCTTGCCTTGTTACTTTTTCTATCCCTATACTTTTAGCCTCTGTGGATCTGTAGATCTAAGGTGACTCCAGTACAGAGCACACAGCTGGATCCTGTGATTTTATCTGTTCCAAGGCTCTCTGTGTTTAGATTGAGGAATCTCCCTCATTTACACTGAAGTAATTATTGACAGGGAGGACTTATTATTGCCGTTTTCTTTGTTGTTTTCAGTAGATGTTACAGCCTTTTAGTCCTTCTTTTCCTCTCTTACTGCCTTCCTTTGTGTTTCATTGATTTTTTTTTTTGGTAATAATATGCCCTGATACACCTTTATATTTTCTTTTGTATATAGACTACAAATATTTCCTTTGTGGTTATTATTGCAATTACATAAAATAAAAAGTTACAAAACTCTTTTAAATACCACTGAAGTTGCAGCATACTATTTTACAATGATAATAATTTAACTTCAAGAGTAAAAGCTACTCTTTCATAGTACCACTCCTGCCCTACTTCATGCTTTTCATGTTACAAATTGCATCTTTATGTGTTATGTCTCCACTAATATAGATTTGAAATCCTGTTGTCATTTAAATTTAATGCAGCAAAATAACAACAGCATGGGTCACTCTATTTGTTCACCTGCTCACCTTTATTTGAGACACTTCTATTCCCATATCACTTTGTATTTCTAAATACATCAATTTGAAGGGCTCCCTTCGGCAGTTGTTATAGTGGTCTGTTGCTAATGAGTGTTTGATTTTGTGCATCTGGAAAGATCTTAAATTCTCCTTCATTGTTGGAGGACAATTTTGGCAGATCCAGTATTGTTTGACAGTTTTTCTTGCAGCACTGTGAATATAGCATCCCACTCCCTTCTGTCTGGAAAGTTTCTTCTGGGAAATCTGCCAGTGATCTAGAATTGTCTTGAGTTGCTTGCCTTTGCTGCTTGCAATATTCTCCTTGTCTTTAACTCTAGATATTTTGTTTGTAATATATCCAGAATGTTTTGGGGGAGTGAATCTTGAGAATTCTTGGGGCTTCTTGAATTTGCATGTTCATTTATTTCCTCAGATTTGGAGAGTTGGGGGACATTATTTCCTCACATAATATCTATGTGCCTTTTTCTTTCTTCTTCAATTTTCATAATGTATACATTGGCCTATTTGGTAGTGTCCCAATAATTTTACCGAGAGAAAACAGCAAAAAACTCACACAAAAAAACACACAATGAAGCCTAGAGGATGATGTAAAAGGAAAGGAGGGACCGAAAAGACAAACAGCCCTTGAGCTCTCTTTACTTTTCTTCATTCCTTTTTTCTTTTGCTCCTCCGACTGGATGACTTCAAATAACCTGTCTTCAAGTTCACTGACTCTTTCTTCTACCTGATCAAGTCTTCTGGTGAAACCCTCGACTGATATTTAATTCAGTCATAGTATTTTTCAGCTCCAGAATTTGGTTGGCTCTTTTTCCTTTTCTTTTTCCCTGGCTTCCATTTATTTGCTTATAAGCTTAGTTTATCCATGAATAGTTTTCCTGATTTTATTTCACTTCTACTTATACACTTTTCTAAAATAAAAAAAAAAAGTTCATTGAACGTTTCTGTGACAGTTATTTTAAAACTGTCAAGTTGCTCATAAATCAACACTATTTTAGGGTCAGTTTCCGGGGCTTTATTTTGTTACTTTGGGCTATAATTCTTTTTCTTTTTTATCTTATCACCTTTCATGGAGATTTGGGCATTTAGGAAACAAGAACAAAACAGAAACAAAAAAAAACTTTCAATCTTTGTCTAGGGGAAAGGGATCTACGCCATTCAAACCTCGTCTGCTCTCTCCCGTCCCCTGGTGTCCATTTTGGGAACTACAGCTCTAATGTGTGTGGCTTCTGTTTCCAGGAGCCTCCAAATTCTAGCAGGGATCCTGAGTCAGGAAAGACACAGGCAGGTTCCTCAGGGAGCCGTCAAACGACCCCGCGTGTCAGAGGCAAGGCCCACTCTTGTTCCTCTGTCCGGGAAGGAACGTGGTCGTTAGGAAACAAGTCCTCTTGTTGTCGCTGAGCTAGCCGTGTCAGGGTGCTAAGGCCACGCACTCCTGGATCTGCTGCAGTCCCTCCTCCGGCGGCTGCCACCCGATCTGCAGAGCCCTCACAGCGCTGTTCCGGTCTGTGTAGCTGATGGCTGTGTCTCTGTGGGGAATTGGTACTCAAATTCAGCAATACTTGATGAGGCCTACAATGCACCAAACTGTTCTAGGCACAAAGGTGAAGAAAACAGAAAAGCATCCCTGCTGTCATGTAATTTATACTCCAGTGAGCAAGATCTGCAAAACACCAGGACCTGAAGGGTAAGTCTGCATAGTGTTTAGATAGAAAAATGTGCTGTTAAGCAAGGTTTATAGGAGGCCTCGAAGCAGGACTTACAAGAAAACGAGTCTTTCCCAGCCTTGGGCAGCCCCCCACCTGATCACCCCACTTTTCTTCCCCTGTAGCTGAAACTCCTTTTCTGGTACAGATAAAATCGGCAGCTATGTGCTGTGAACAAAGTGTATGTCCTCTTGTTCCCTAAAGTTTCACAAGGCTCTGTCTTCTTCAAGGCTAAATTACAAAACTGTCTGCCCGGTCCCATTTCGTGTATACTCACTTGCTGTGTCACTAGAAAGACCGCCCCGTTGACCAAGTGTGTAAAGCTGGAACCTTTCCTTGTTCTCCACTCTTCCTCCAGACAAGAGTCCCTTGATCCGGTGTCCACCTGAAACAGAGTCCTCCTGATTCCCACTGGTCTCTCCTGTTGCTTGAATCCACAACAGCCTGAGCTCCTGCTTCCATCCCCAGCTCAGCAGACCCAAGCAGGTGCACTCACTCGTGCTGAGGGCGAAGTCAAGCTGAATTCTGAAACCGGCCAGTTTCCCAAACCCGGGAGGTGGACAGCAGCCAGCCAGCAGGGGCTCCTTTATCCAAGAGGTTTCACATTTGAAGCAACTAATTACTCTCTTGTTCCTTTCCCCCTCTTTTTTCTGCTCTTTTCTGTCTATAAAGCCAATTCCTTTTCTTAGCTCATGAGAATACCCATTTTGTTTTATAGCATGAGATGTTGCCCAATTCTAGAGTCACAGATAAAAGTCAATTTTTAAACTAAAGGAGTTGTGATTCTGGCTTTTGGCAGTGCTAAGGGAAAGGAGCACGAAGTTTGCATATACATGGAAGTTTAGGGTTAGAGTCCCGGGAGGGCCTCCCCAGGAGAGTCAGCACCTGAAGAGGTGAAGGAGGAAGCCTTCCAGCAGAGGCACAGCACACACAAAGCTCCTGCAAGCTGGGAGCGAGCCTGGGGGATTCAGGAAACAGAAACAGGAAGTCGGTGTGGCCGAAAATGAAGGAGAGAACAGGGTGAGCCAGCCGTGACGAGGGGTCACTGTCCCCTGCCACTTGGGAGGCTGAGCCAGGAGCTCACAGGTTGTTGGTAACGAGGGGGAGTGAGAGGCAGAGAAAAGGGGAGAGGGGAAAATAATGGGCAGTGAGGTTGGGATGGGGCAGACAGTGTGTCGAAGGGGAGAACGGCGCTGGGGTGTGGGTCTGCTGGTGACTTGGACAGCAGCGCTTTGTCTGGAATGGATGCAGGGAACCAAGGGAAGGACACTCAGGAAAATGGAGGGAAAGAAAGAAGAAACATGATGCTGTCTCCCGGGAATTTGCTACAGAGGGAAGATAAGACCCGCAGGCAGGGGTGTCAGTGGATCTCCCATTTATAACAACAAGCGGACTCCGTGGAGAGAAAGGGGCAGCAGCTGTGTGTCACTGGAAGTCTGCCCCAAACAGCGCTTAGCTTCCAGCCTGCGTGCCACGCACTTGACACTGTCGGCGTCTTTCGAGCCTGCTGTGCTCACCCCGTGCCCTGCCGGCCTTGTCCTAGGACGCTGATTGCATGAAGAGAGCTGTGCTGGCTCAGCCAGGGTCCCTCCTCCAGGACAGCACTGTTCCAGGGCATGCTGCAGCCACTCTGAGTGAGGAGAGCTCCGAGCAGGCAGCTGATGGGCGCCTGGAGCTGACCTGAGACCCTGAGAAACTCAGGAGCCTACGTGTGACCGGACTGGACTTTCCAGTGACCGAATACTGTGAACACTGTGGCCCTGTCTGCCACCACCCCCACCCAGAGCAGGCTGAACACACAGGCACTGGCCACACGGAAAAGAGCCAGGAAACGAGGGACCGATAAAGTCCTCGTCCTCCTAGTGCCACGTATGTTCTGTGGGGACTGTGCTAGCTTTCACCCTCTTCATGAGAGTCTTTAGCATTTGACCACAATAAAGTGACATTTCTAAATGGGTGGTGACATTGACCTGATTTTATATGTGTGGGAATGTTAATTTTTTCCTGGTACCAAAACAATAAGGAGAATACATGCATAAAACAGTAGATAGGGTAACAATCAGCAGCATTTCTGAGTCTATCCTCCTGTTCGCCAATATACACATACCCCAGCTAAATTATTTTAGCACTGAAACGTCATACACGTGTATACTGGATGCACTTAACAATATTCACTCAGTGAGTGAACAAAAAAATAAAGAGATGAAAAAATGTATTTAGCTTACCTCACTTAACTACATATAAGATTTGACTTCGCTTATTCAGCTCAGGTTTTTTTGTTCTTTTGTTTTGTTTGCCTTCTTATTTCCTGAATCTGCTTAGAGCAAAGAATATTCACCAATCTCCAAGCACTGTGATGTGAACATATTTTATCAAAATCACCATGAACTTGGAAGAAGGTGTTTTGGCTTGGCCCGGAATCATCCAGCTAGGTTGGCAGGTGATAGAGCAGGGTGCAGAACTTCTTATCTTAGCTAGGAAATAAGACTTTCTCATTTAAATGAAGTTTAACTTGAAAATGCAAAGATGTTAAACTTGAGTAAACAGGGTCATTCAGATTTGTACCAGCGTTGTCGTCTTTGGTCTGTTCCTCCTCCTAGGGAGATATCCAGATGGCACTGCTACGGGACAGGACTCACAGAGGCATCCACACCAGTTTGCTTCCTGGAGGGCAGGGCCGGGCCGAGGCCTTTGGGCCACCGTCGGCCCAGCGTCTGGGGTTTCCCAGGGAGTCGCCAGTTCAAGATGGCCGCCGAGCTCAGTTTCACTGGAGACAAAACCCATGCGTTTCGACGTGGCTGGCTGGGGCGAGGGGACTGGATTGTGGAGAAGGCAGCCAGTAGAGTCTGTGTGGGATGCACCAATTCTGTTCCATTGCTACTGTGCCATCATCAGGTGATCTTGCTTGGGAGACACAGAGTCAGCGACTGTAGCCTTCCCTACACACAGGTCGCTTTCTGTGGCTTCAGGCACCAGGGTGGACTGAGGTCCAAGAGGACAGCACCGCACAGTGATGTAGGGAGCGGAAGAGAGATCACGGTCCATGGCTCTTATTAGTATAGGGTTGTAACTGTTTTACCTTATTGCTCATTCTTGTTAATCTCTTGTTGTGCTTAGTTTTGAAATTAAATGTTATCGGAGCTCTGTAGTGGGGGACATATAGTCTACACAGGGGCTTCCGTGCCATCCATGCCTCCAAGGACCCGTGGAAGTCTTGGAAGTGTCCCCTGCACATAAGAGAAGATGACCGAGCACCTAAACATGCAGGACTGGAGTCAGAGGGAGAGCACAGATGGGAAGCAGAAGAAAATGGGTCCTGCTGGACACGACTCTGCCACAAGCTTAACGTACCCGGGATGACATTCCACTCACCAAAAAGGGTTGGATGTGGGCAAGGCTCACAATGCTGTGAGGCCACCATGATGTTGCTGCCGGCGCTATGGAGATCATCAGTCTGCCCTGGGCACTGTGGGCAAAGCTCGGTCACTCGGCTCAGAGCTCCGGACCTAGGCAGAGCGCTGCACTGAACACACAGCAGGCATTTCTGGTTCGTCCTGGCCGAGGTGACCCAGCCAGAGCCTTCAGTCCTCTACACACGTCCATCGGTTTGACTCTGAAGCAAACACTAACTTGGAATGAGAATTGTGTCTTTACTTTGTGACACTTTCTAGCTGATTCCACACATCTCATGGGGTTAGTGACAGCCCCAGAGACACCTCACATTTTTACCTCAGCACCAGCAGTCTTAGCAGAGCAGAAAACACAGTGGGAAAGGCCCGGACTTTGAGGAGGATGAATCTTCTTCAAGCTACCTCACTGCTGTAAGCAACATGGCCTTGAACAAGTTACTTAAAATTCCTGATCCCCACTTTCCTCAGATGTAGATAAAGGACAGTAGCTACCTTTTGGGATGGTCTGAGGCACAAGCATGCCGTAAAAACACAGAAGCAAGGCATGACGCACAGGCGTGGGCCTCAGAACTGTTGTTTTCGGAGTCGGGGCTCTCACATGTCTCAGAGTGACACTTGGGGTCCCGACCATCCATGGATCCAGAGTGGTACTTCTGGGAGCTGGCTCCTAGGGAGCTTTTAAAAACACACCCCATCTGGGCGCCCACTCCAGAAGAAGGGAGCCAGAAGCCCTCCGCTGGAACCCGAACATTGTACAAGGCTGTCAAAGGAACTGTTCAGTGGAGTCCAGACTCAGGCCCTCCGGGCTGGGTCAACCTGAAGTTCTCCACACCACGGCCCTGACTCACAGCTAAGGAGTCATTCCCGGTCTTCTGGCTGCTCCAGTCCAATGTGTCAGGGTATTCCCGCATCTTCTTCTCTTCTGTCTCTCATAAGGCCATTTCTCACTGGACGGAGGGCCCAACTGGAGAATCCAAGAGGTTTTTATCGTCCCAAACTTCTTCTCCAAATATGGTCACACTCACAGGTCTCAGGGGTCACATGGCAGATGTACATTTTGGGGGTATCATTCTGCCCCCTACAACCAGCGACGTGCTGGAATGCCTCAGATAAGCAGATCGGGGTGTCCACCTCGTCCTTCTGCCCTCCCTGCACAGTGCCAAGACTTTCAGGGCAGGCTTTGTGGATTTATCTTTGTCCGGTGTTTGCTGAGCCTTTGGACAATCATCTGTCCTCCAGGCAGGGAACACAGGGAAGGAGCAAAATGTCCATCAGAGGCAAACAGACAAGGAGGCCAGTCCTTCCCATCAAAGCACCCCTGGAAGTCTCACCCAGTTGCTCCAATTTGCATTCTCAGATCAAATTGTATCATCAGTCCCTGAGGTAGAGAGCAGCATCTCCCCAGTCTCTGCAGTAGAAGAAAACAGGACCAAAGGCTTTGGGAGGTCCATCCTGAGCGTCTACTGGAGCTGTAAGAAGCAGGACACAACATTGGCTCAAGACCTCTATCTTTTAGGCATGGCCCAAGAAGCGGGGTCAGAATGAGCCCTTTCATCTGCCAGCATTTGTTCAGGTTTGACTCCTGCCCTGACATTGGGTAGCTACACAGCGCTTGCCAGTGTTTGTGGTCTGTGTGCTGAGCTCGCTCTCTCTCTCTTTTTGTACCAGGGATTGAACTCAGGTCCTTGCCTCTTACGAGGCAGGCGATAGCACCACTGGGATAAATCCCTAGCCTCATTTCTTTTATTAACGAAGTTCACTGGTACATTGTAGGTATAGGTAAGGATCATATTCTTATAGGGAATTTGTACCTGTACATGATATATCTTAATTCCTTGTTTTTTCCTATTTCCCCTCTCCTCCCTTCAACCTCTCTTCCCCTCATTTACAAAAGTTTAATTTCCATTTTTCCTTCTTTTCTTGTTTTTTCCCCTTCCTTCCTTTCCCTGTTCCCTCCTCCCTAGTTCCCCTCCCCATTTAAGCATTTTCTTCCTATTTTATGATATCCAGCATACATTTTGGTCCTTATTTACCCTTTCTGCTTCTCACACCAGAGAAACAATGCAATATTTACACATGTATATTTGATTTATTCCACATCCATTTACCTAAAAATGTCTAGTTTAGCCTTTTTATGGCTGAGTAGTACTCTGTTGTATTAAAAAAAAATCTTCTTTATCCATTCATCGGTTGATGGGTATTTGGGCTGTTTCCAAGATTTAGCTATTATAAACTGTGACCCTGTAAACATGGGTGTGCATATATTGCCTTAGTATGATGTTTTTAATTCTTTCAGGAATATACCAAGAAGGGAAACAGCTGGATCAAAAAGAACGTCTAGTTTTAGTTTTTTCAGTCATCCCCACACTGATTTCCACAGTAGTTGTGCCAGTCTACCCTCCTAGCAACAGGGGAGAAGGGTTCTTTTTCCCACAGCCCCACCAGTATTTCTTTTTTTTTTTCAGCTTTAATTGAGTTTATTGGTACATTTTAGGGATACAGTACAGTTACATTCATTGTTGGGATCTTGTAGCTCTACATGACAAGTCTTGATTCTCATTTTTTCTCCTTACCCCTGCCCTCCCTTCACCCCGCCACCAGTATTTCTTGATAACTGCCATTCTTTCTCGAGTGAGATGGCCATCTATAACAACCCAATAGCCAACATCCTACTAAATAGTTGAAAACTGAAATTTTCACTCTAAGATCAGGAACAAGATAAGGATGTCCACTATCACCACCTTATTCAATGTAGATCTGGACATATTAGCCAGAGCAATTAACAGAAAGAAATAAAATAATAAAGATAGGAAAGGAAGAAGTTAAATTATCATTATTTGCAGATGACATGATATTCTCACAGAAGGCTCCAAAACCTCCACAAAAAGACTTCTTGATTTGATAACCAAATTTAGTCACATAGCTGAATACAAAGTCAACACTCAAAAATCAATAGCCTTCCTGTACACTAACAATATACTCACTGAGAGAAAAAATAGGGAAACCATACCTTTCATAATAGCATCAGAAAAATATCAGAAAATGGAAAGATATTTCTTTCTCTTGGTTAGGAAGAACCGACATAGTGGAAATAGTCACACGCCAAAAATTGTTATGCAGATTTAATGCAATCATGATCAAAATACCAATTGCATACTCAAAAGATTAGAGAAAACAATCCTAAAATCTACTTGAGACCAGAAAAAAACCAGAATGGCAAAAACAATTATAGGCAACAAAGAGAAGGCAGGAGGCATTACAATCCCTGATTTTAAATTATACTATAAAGCTACTGTGATAAAAACAGCATAATACTGGTGAAACAAAACAAAAACAGACCCAAGGATCAATAGAATAGATCAGAAGATGCAGAAATAATTCCAAACAAACGCAACCACTTAATCTTTGATAAAGGAGCCAAACCCCTTCACTGGAAGAAAGATAGCTTTTTAAATAAATGGTGTGGGAGAAACTGGCTTTCCACATGCCAAAAACTGAAACATGTCTCTCACCATGCACTAAACTAAAATTGAAATGGTTCAAAGATCTAAATATTAAAACAGAAACACTAAATCTGCTGGAAGATAAAATAGGTAGAACTCTTGAAGACACAGGAGTAGGCCAAGACTTTACACAGGAAATATTGCAAAGAATCAACAACTGAATCCCATCTTATTAAAAAGCTTTTCTACAGCGAAAGAAACCACCAAGAGAGTAAAGAGAATCCACAGAGTGGGAAAATTTTTGCCAGTTGTTCCTTAGACAAGGGTCTAATATCTAGAATATATAAAGAACTAAAAGAATTATACCCCTTCCCCGGTTTAAAGACCCATTCCACAAATGGGCATCTGAAATGAACAGATGCTTCTCAGAAGAACTACA